CGCTACTGCAATATTCTCCATTACCTATTTATGCTCATTTGTACATTGTATCAAAGGATCGTTCGCATATAAGGTAATCTATAAGGAACAATAATTCACTGAAATAACATATTACACTTCATATAACATGTGCGTGAGACTATGCATGGGTGTGTATGTTTGTGCCTGCGTGTGTGCATAAGTGGTATAATGGTGTGGGTGTGTTTGTGTGCATGTTCGGAATTCATATCCCCTCCCGTGTACCGAGTGCGTTCAAATTTGGTAGGAGTGCAGGCGGCAAGATGCAAGCACTGGTGATAGATTTTAGGGCTGGATTGCAGTAACGGGTAACGGGCATGCTCATCCGATAAAAATGAATTGTTAAGTTCTGCCAGTAGGGCACAAGGGTTGAGCTGGTCTATGCACTTGCTTTTCATTGAGAATATGCAATGCCAAACCCAATGAGGATACGGGTCGAACAAGCAAAAGTTAAGAGCATAACCATCCATGATAGGTTGGCCGGGTACAGAGCGTGGGACCAAAAATCTGCTCCTATCCTAAAACGTTCCGAAGAAGGTAAAAATGTGAATCGAAGCTGTCACAGCTAGAGATTACACAGCAGGTAAGGAAGGCATGAAAAAGGACAAAAGATAAAATCTAAAAGCGACAGCCCTATTCAAATGCAATGCACATTATGCACCGCTCTGACATGGACCTTACATGTGTCGTAGGATTTACGCCGTGTGGATGCTGGTCTCATTCAAGATAGTTTGGTCCGCCTTTGGGGCAATGGTACGACAGTTGTAGGTGAAAACTCGTAGGCAGCCTCCACGCCTCGAAGGCTTTTCGTCCTGGCTCTGTCGAAAGTCAACCACGCAAAACAGAGAAGTCTCAATCTCCGCAGCGCAGACATGCGCTCAACGTCCGGCATTCGTGACGCCGAAGTATATGCGTGGAACGCAAAGAAACGATGGGCAGGACACGTGGTCAGACCGCTGGACCACTCGCTTTACATTCTACTTCCCACGTGAGGTTAACCGCGCACTTGGCCGTCCTACAACGAAATGGAGTTACTCACTAAAAAGACTTCAGGGAAAAGTTGGCCAACACTGGTCCCAAACCGCTCAAGATCGTCAAAAATGAAAGGAAGCATGTGCTTGCCGCTGAGGATTATCAGCCGACAACGAGCGTCCAAGTATACAAGTGGATGCTGGTCAATACATCGACCTGTTATTCGAACTCCAAGAAAATGGAAGAAGTTTGGCGGGAGTGTAAGTATAGATGTAGCCATTGATGATGGACAACTGGTTTCGATCGATGTCGATTTGTACTAGCTGGCATGGGCTACCATCTGCTCAATTTCAAACCGAAAAGTAAAGGAGGATGACAGGCGCTAGTGTGGTATACCAGTTTCAAAGCAAAAAGGAGTAGAGGCCGGTGTGAGCCGGGCGGCTAGTAGTTATATTACAATATACATATAGTATAATACTATATCGTTACAATACCCTTTCTCGTTCTTCACCATCTGCATGGCACCTATTAGCTCCTATGTCAAAGTACCCCTTCTACGAATTGTTCGAAGTGTTAGCGTCAAACGTGATGGCACGTACAGACTTTCACCATCAGACCTATCTTGTGGGATGCGCTATCCCGGCCAACTGAGAAGCTCCTAATAAGACTCCTACAGGTAAAAATGTAGTTGGGGGGCCACCTATCTTAAGGTCAGTATATCAAGAAATTTATTTATTTATTGCGTGTCCTCCCCAACTACATTTTCACCCTCCTACAGTATTTCTCATCTAGAAGCTCCATATTCTTTCTGTACAGGAAAATCATTTGAAGCTCGATTTCGCCTGCCAATTTTTCTGCTCATATAACCTTTCTACAGTCTACTGCTCCAGCAACACCTCTAACTCCTTACTTTTTCATCTGCTTTCCATTTTTTCAGTTCGATGGGATGAAGACGGTGAAACTCAAACGGGTAGCTATCCTTGCCAGTGGTGCCTTAATTTTCATTCTACTCTGTGTTATCACCTCTCTGCCGCCAACGTCCAAGAATCCACGTTTGGTAAGAGCGATCAAGCCAGAAGTACGATTACCGGTGAGGCGGTTTTAATCCTTTTTGAGGTTGTTTCGATGGTCAAGAAATGAGACCCTGCGAGAGACTTGTGGGAATTTCCCGGCATTGTTATGTGCAGAGAAATGAAACTAATACCGGGAATATTGGAAAGGTCTTTTGGATAAGGAGACAACACTTTTCGTCTTTTCAGGTGCCTAATGCTTTCTCCAGACCATCTCTGGTAGTCTCACTGCTTCGTTCGCACTCATTTTAAAGCTCTGGCTGAAGGCTGGGGGAAGGAGGGGGGGGGGGGGGGNCCCTTTGAACTAGCAGACACAAGGTCGAAAGGTACACATTTCGTGAAAGAGCCCAAATTTGTCGAGCATGCCTTTGGTCCAACTCTGTATGACTTCAAGACCTTTGCTCCGGCCATCCCTTCTTGAAACTCGTGGAAGGCAAACCCATGCGATCCGCTACTGAAGCCCTCGATACACGTGGCTCCAAGTGAACAGAAACGTTGGCTAGGATATAATAAGTGTGCAACCCCGTTAATGCAATTCGACGACCTCCTGTCGAGCCTGTTGCGCTGCTCAGCGAACCACTGCGGTATAGCCTTATTATAAATTTCATGCATGTGGATTTGTCAAACCGGTTGATTTAAGAGACTCTCAGATCATTCACAGGCTTCAACCTCCTATTTAGATTGCACCCGACGAGGAAGTCGAGATCCTGCCTTCAAAACCCGTTCAAAATATTCAGCAGCACGTCGATGCCCTCCGAGAACGAACTGACACAGACGAAAATGGTACGTCCCTATTGCTTCTCATCGACGAATTGCTACATAAGTGTACTTCATAAGATCGGCTGGACTACGAACGAGTGGTAGCTTATTTTGATTTACGCGCTTGCGGAGCTACTCCTTAGCTAAAGCGCTATGTCGAGAAGCTTATCACAGTTCCATAGCTTTTTTCGAAAGCTTGGTGTCGTGGGCAAAGGTTTGGGAGAAATATAAAGGATATGTACCAATCCGTTTCTCATGATCACCGTCTCACGTCTTCTTGTTATAAGCCTGACGTTATCTGGAAGGCGGAATCAATGTAAGTGGCAGCCGTTGTACGTCATTCCCACGTCACACTGAACCACATGATGCATGACGTTTTGGAGAACGGCGCTGAAAAGCTTGGGCGAGACGGTATGGCCCTGTCGAACCTCCAATGACTTTCTTTTATATTGGTTATATGCTGGCGATGGAATTGTTGCTGAGCTTGCAAAACATTTCCACATAAGAACACATATGAAAATCCTGGTTGCCCAAGGCTGCAATCACCACTTTTGTCTCGACGGTATCAAGGGCTTTGTCGATATCGACAAACGTAACAAATGATGGTCTCCTGTACTCTCGCGATACTTGATATGATTCATAAGTCTTGCGATAGTGCAGATGTGATCGGTCGTATCGATTGTACTGAACCGTCTCGGTATCCTGCTCGCTCGCTTTAGGATGACTCGTGTGAAAACATAGTGTTTACATTGGTGGAATTTGCCAGCGTCGTCTTAGACTCACTCTTCTTATACAGCGAACAATCTTGCTAGTGTTTCACTATGTGTTCGCTCTGCATTGCGATAGGTATCGGGTGGACAGCTTAGGGATTTGATGAATGAAGTGGAAAGCTCTTCGGATATTTTGGTCGAATTCGTTGAGATCAGACGTACATTCTTCATTCAGATGGTGTTATGTCGATATCCGAAAGGGAGAACTGTAAGATGGAGATTGTGGCTAAGCAGGTAAGCACGGCTGTCAAAGAGATCCAAGTGTATCCGTAGATGACAGTCTCTATTGCCCTCTGAAGTGCAGTGTCTATTTAGCCAGAACGACGTAGGAAAGTCATCTCGGTTTTGTAATTAGCCAAGATTCTGCGGAACTTTTATCATTCTTAGCGGCTTGCAGCCAGTAATGCGACTTTTCTCTTTCAGATCTTCTTCCATCTGCTTTACATAGCTTTACAAGTCGGTATTGCCTGCGCCTCGCGCGATTCCACGCTTTCGCCTTATCCAATCAGAATGAGAGACTACGAAGAGAGCGTCTTTTTGCAACTTGTAGACTAACCGTTTGCCTACCACTACTGCGAAGCTGTTTGACAAGCTCTACGTTGTCACAACAGCTCTCTCACATTGGAAACCGTACCTTGTGTGGAAGAGAAAGCTGTCCAAACAAATGTAGGGCTTCAGAACAACAGCAAGACCAGTCGCACAAAACTGTCAGTTAAGGATGATGTGATCTAGTTTTTTACGGAACTGTCTAATTGATAAGAGGTAGTTCCAATGACCATCGCAATTAGGAGGTATTCCGAAACTGAAATCCAAATAACCATGGATCGTGTGCTTCGACATGATAAGCTCGGACGGTTTTTGACATGCCAATTCTGTTCCGTTCTGTGAGTTCCGATGACAAACTCTTCAGCTGTTCTTCTATAGCCACTCTGGGTATTGAAATAATCGACATTAAAGTTAATAAAAGTGATCTCCTCTATAGAACTTTTCCTTGCGTGCAAGCTGAGCTCCACTTCCTAGGTGCTTTATGTTGGTACGTAGGCAAGAAAATTGGTTGACCAGAGGTTGACCCACGTCTTATCAATTTCAAAAGCCCAGTTTGTTTTCTTAACCTTCCGTACAAGAATAACGTACCAAGAAAAGAATCAGGATAGAATATCCAGCCCGAAGATGTAAGCGACCTTCCCGCAAAGCATAGTTGTTCATATTTACTGGAACTCAGTTCAGTTCTCTGTTAAAGCCCTTTTATCTCAATCCATCAGAGTGGGGTATACAGGGCTACTTTGAATTCTGCGTGAAATGACTAGAGCATTCTTTTTTTTCAGAGCGGCGGAAGAATAAAGTGGTGGAGATGATGCTTCATGCATGGAACGGTTACAAGAACNATGTTTAGCTCAAACCAGTCGCACGAATGCGCCATACTCAACCAATATTCGGTGGACCATCAATGCCTGCAACCATCGTCGACGCTGCGGACACGCTCTGGATTATGGATCTGAAGGAGGAGTATGAAGAGGTATCTTTCACGACAGTACAGCCGGATCTAGCAAATCTGTTCCCAACTTTTGTCGGACACATGTCTTCCTATTTTTTAAATAACATGAAATAGCAGTATCGAAACGTTTTTGGATTGCCTTTATATGAGGCAAGCAACCATTCACTTTTCATCTGATTAAGCGATCACATTAGAGGTGTTTTTTATCAGAGGGCACTGTTCGATGGGGGAATATGATGAATCGAATAGCAAACAACGAGTACTGTTCAATACTGATGCTGAAACAATTCTCATGTCGAGATTTTTTCTGTCTTCCTCTGTCGAGGCCTATTTGTGTGTTCCGTCATGCTCTAGACTGTTGTATATGTAAAGACGGCTATAATGAAGTGGAGACCACTCTTCTAAAACTGAGATGGATTAATTTATTGAAGTTTAAAGGACCATCCACTCCTTGCTCCGCGCTCGCAGAAGTGTAATCGCGTTCAAGAAAAAAGTTATTCTGGAGAATTATTGAATAAAACATCTCCCAGACGTCAATCACTCTTGTGGAAGGTACAGTAAAGTACGATGACTGGACAATAGCGAACCTAACAGAACCATACATTGAGATAGTAGAAGTTTACTCATAAGAAGTCCAGTCCAGAACGATTTGACACGATTTGTAGCAGTAGTCTGAATGTTGTTTTTCAATCGCGAACAATACTTTTCAGGCTCGTAACTACATAAAGGAGAAGTTTAATATGACTCAGGCTACTGGCACCTTGTCCGTTTTCGAAACAACAATTCGGTTCCTTGGCGGGTTACTATCGCTCTACGCACTCACCGGCGAAGATTTCTATGTGTGAGGTTTTTTTCTCATTAGATATTAAATGGCAAGCACCTGCCCATTTTGTTGAAATTTTTAAAATCATCTCTAACTTGGTTTTCATCTTGAAGTGAAAAAGCGCGAAGTGTTGGCGAAGCCTTGCTACCGGCATTCAATACGCCTTCGGGAATTCCGAAAAGTAACGTCCACATGAACACCAAACATGCTTCGAACTATGGATGGGCTGACGGAGGGTATGCTCTTCAAAATATGAACCATACGTTACGTACGAACGTGTAAGTCATATTCAGGTCTTCAATCCTATCCGAAGTTGGCACCCTTCACCTGGAGTTCACTTATCTCAGTCAAGTAGCCAAGGCGCCACTGTTTGCCAAAAAAGTGAAGAAAGTCCGAGACGTCTTGGACCGCCAGGATAAACCGAATGGGCTTTATACTAATTTTATAAGCCCTGAAACCGGGAAATTCACTATGAACCGTCATGTGTAAGTTACTTAAGTTATGAGGAAATATCTATTCATCACTGGAGATGCCCCTTGTCCGGGGAAATATTTTAATGTTAGGTCGGGGACTACGGGAGGTCATCACGAACACTTCATTCTGCATTCTTCGCATGCGACTGGCTACCCGATGCTTATTCAGATTGCAAGCACATCGAGTATTTAGCTGCGATCTGGAAGCGCTTCATCAAGCCTCCCGTCAAATTATGAATTATGAACTGAACCTTAAAACTTTGTAAGATGATGATCTACAACATGAGATTCGGAAGTGAGGGGAGAGGGGGGGGGGGGGGGGGGGGNGGGGGGGGGGGGGGGGGGGGGGGGGGGGGAGCAAATTGGAGCACTAGAAATGATGGTAAAACGAAGATGTTTAGTTATAGGGTTGAAACCGCACCGCCGCTTAACTCGCAATGAGCACAACCCCCTCCGAACCAGAGCTCTGGTTCGAACTCCATCTGTGCCTAAACGTTTCAATCGTGGAAATGCCTCGAAGTAGCATTCGCAACCTTGGGTAGTAAAGCGAAATAAGGCATGGTACCTGGCAACAAAATACATAGACGTAAAGTGATATCCTTATTCCATTCGTATCATCTCCGCCGCTCACTTCCCTTGTCCTTCGCGCTGTTGAACAGGATTTCTCATGAACAGGGCTGCTGCTGGATCAATTGTCCACGCCATTCCAAAAAAATGTTACCCATTCTGCAGAAAAACTGTGTATGCAAGGAGTTTTTCAGTTTATTAAGTTACTACTAGGATAACACTTTTTTTTAGTTCTCTGGGCGCCTTGGGTGACTCCTTCTACGAGTATCTCCTCAAATCATGGCTACAATCCAGCAAAACCGATATGCAGGCCAAAAGAATGTACTGGGAAGCTAGCACAGCGATTCAAAAAAAGTGAGTTCTGTAAACAACCATTTTGTGTACTGATCAGTGAGATAACTCAGTGAATCCGCAACTAGAGAAGCGCACTAGAAGGGGAAAGCTAGCGGAATGGGATCGCCATCCATAGAAACAGTAAAGCTTTGTGCTGTTAGTGAAGTATGTGGTGCTCGAGACGGTTGTTGACAATAAGCAACAGAGTACAGTCTAGCACTTGCCTTTCTAGGAATGTTAATCAACATTACACTGATCTTCAGCATGATCTTCAAATCCAAAACGGGTCTTACTTATGTTGCCGAACTTCGGAACGGTCTCCCGAACCACAAAATGAGTCACCTATCGTGCTTCTCAGTGGGGATGTTTGCTCTACAGGCCGTGAACGAAGAAGAACCAGAAAAGCGTGTAAGTTCGTTTGAATACAATTTCATTGGTGTTCAACATGTTGACTGACGATTCGTCCTTTCCTCTTTCAAAGGCCATGCTGAAATAGCGTTGAGAACTTCAGTTCCGCTGAGTTTCGTTTGGTTCCGATGAGCAGCTTCAGAAAACAAAACTTCGAACTAATGCTACTTTTTTATATAGGCATCTACGATGAAACTAGCTGAAGAGCTTGGACGTACCTGTCATGAGAGCTACGTGAGGACAACAACGCACATCGGCCCTGAAATGTTTTATTTCAGCGGAATCGATGAAGCCACGAGCAGGTAACTTACAGTGCGCGTCAATTGCTTATGCTACCCCACATTTTCCTATTATCTCTGTTCCTACCTACTTCTGTCACATGTGACATACTGCACTACAATGGACTGTGTCAGAGACTCACATATACGAGACTACACCTATTCAAAGGAACAGCTTCATTTTTACAGTTCATTTTAATAAATGT